TTGTTGTTTGGCGGGTCCAGGCTGGGGATTCGAACCCGCCACCTTAGGTGTACGTGGCTGGCGCCCTAGCCCGTTGAGCTATAGGCGCCGAGCCTTGCTTTCCCTTTGATGTCTAATCTTGGCCTATGTTTTTAATCTCTCTCCTACCTTTCTTCTTTCGTGCATCTGTTTTTTCATTTCCTTTCTTTTTCTTCTCTTTCCTGTTCTTCCCTTCTTTGCATCCTACCTCTCTGGTCATTTTTCCTTACCTGCAATGAGGGCAGCAGGCCGCGAGCCATCTTGCCTCACACTGTGGGTTTCTCCATGTCCTCTTCCCCGTCTGGCCAACACTCCAGTGATGCCTCCTGCTCCGCCCCAGGGTGGTGCTGACAGACGAAGCCACCCAACTTCACAGCTCAGAGATGTTTTCAGAGTGCCCATGATGGTACCTGTGCCTTACATGCTGGGACCTGGCAGCCATCAAGCTATTCCAAGCAGGAGATGGCAGGGTTGGCCTGGACAGTGGGGCAGGCATTGGACAGGTCCTGATTCTACTCTGGGAAAAATCAGGACTCAAAAATTTCCTGACCCCACTCCAGATTTCCAGGTGGAGGCTGAGGAGGACATCAAGTCTGAAACCAGTGGCATCTTGCAGGACCTGCTCCTGGCCCTTGCCAAGGTGAGGAGAAAGGACTAGTCTCTGAGGAGGGAGTGACACTTAACCAGTAAGGGGTGAACTAGAGCGGGGGGCACTGCTGTCCTATACTGGAAAAGAGAGCGTGTCGGGGACACCAGAGTTTGGTTTGTTTGGTCTGGAAATAAAAATCTGCCCTTCAACGCTTCCTCCTGAGAATAGTTTCTGCTCCTAGGGGGCCCGTGAGAGCTACTCCGGAATCATAGACTATAACCTGGCAGAACAGGATGTCCAGGTGAGTAAGGGGCCTCACAGTGTGCACGCCATGCGCATAAGATCCCTCTTCCACATGCCAGAGAGTCAGGGCCTCTGTGCCCATTTATCCTGCAAACCTGTCCCTGCCCCTTGGGGACAGAGTCCTCAGTGACCTGTGGGGGATAACTTGTCAGGGAGTATCCCAGTTGAAGCCTTTTCGCTCCTCTAGCCCCTGCCTCCAGTGCTCACAGGAAACAAGCTCATCAGCAGATGGATCCTTCACTCATGGGCATCTGTGTCAAGGAAGCCTCCCCAGATCCTCTTTTTGGGATTATTTAATTCCTTGAGAACTAAGATTTTTCCAGATCAGTGAATAGATCTGTGAGGGTAGAGCCCCTTTCTTTTCTTTCTTTCTTTTTTTTTTTTTTTTTTTTTTTTTTTGCAGTTTTTGGCGGAGGCTGGGTTTGAACCCACCACCTCCAGTATATGGGGCCAGGGCCCTACTCCTTTGAGCCACAGGCGCCTTATTATTGTCCCCTTTCTTATCCCTGTTTCTTTCTTTCTTTTTCTTTTTTTCTTTTTTTGAAACAGAGTCTCACTATGTTGCCCTCACAGTAGAGTGCTGTGGAGTCATAGTTCACAGCAACCTCAAACTCTTGGGCTTAAGCAATTCTCTTTCCTTAGCCTTCTAAGTAGTGGGAACTACAGGTGCCCGCCACAACACTTGGCTATTTTTTGATTGCAGTTGTCATCGTTGTTTAGCTGGCCCAGGCTGGATTTGAACCCACCAGCCTCGGTGTATGTGGCTGGCGCTACAACCACTGTGCTAGGCACTGAGCCTCTTTTTTTTTTTTTAGACAGTGTCTCACTTTGTTGCCCTTGGTAGAGTGCTGTGGCATCACAGCTCACAGTGACCTCCTACCCTTAGGCTTAAGCAATTTTCTTGCCTTAGTCTCCCAAGTACCTGGGACTACAGGCACCCGCCACAACACCCAGCTATTTTAGAGACAAGGCTGGTCTGGAACTCATGAGCTCAGGCGATCTACCTGCCTCGGCCTCCTAGAGTTCTGGGTGTTTCTTTCTTTCTTTTTTTTTTTTTTTTTTGAGACGGAGCCTCAAACTATTCCCCTGGGTAGAGTGCCATGGCATCACGCTCACAGCAACCTCCAACTCCTGGGCTCAAACAAGTCTCCTGCCTCAGCCTCCCAAGTGGCTGGGACTACAGGGGCCCGCCACAACGCCTGGCCATTTTTTGGTTGCAGCCATTATTGTTGTTTGGTGGGCCCAGGCTGGGGATTCGAACCCGCCACCTTAGGTGTATGTGGCTGGCACCTTAGCCCCTTGAGCCACAGGCGCCGAGCCTGGGTGTTTCTTTCTTTTAAAAAAGTCATAAGTAGGCCAGGCACAGAGGTTTATGCCTGTAATCCCAGCACTTCTAGAGTCTGAGGTGGAAGGATCACTTGATACTGGGAGTTTGAGACCAGCCTAAGCAACACAGTGAGACCCTATCTCTATAAAAAAAATAGAAAGTACCCAGATGTGGTGACGGGCACTTACAGTCCTAGCTAGTTGGGAGGCTGAGGCCGGAGGATCAATTGAGCCCAGGTGTTTGGGGCTGCAATGAGTTACACATATGATGACACCACTGTGCTCCAGCCCACACAAACAGTGCCTGGGGTAGAGTTGTGAGGGTAGAGGTCTCACAATAGTACAAGACCCTGTTTCAAAATAACATAAAATAAAATCACAAATAAAAACTAGGTTATGGGGTGGCACCTGTGGCTCAAAAGGGTAGGGCGCCAGCCCCATATGCCAGAGGTGGCGGGTTCAAACCCAGCCCCGGGCCCTCCCCCCCAAAAATTAGTTTATGGGTTAAAATAACCTTTTGCACCCTTAATCCCATTTCCATCCTTATGATTCTGGGAACATCATAGCTGTGGCTCCCAAGGCCCCCACCTGTGGTCCTGATTTACTTCCCCCTCCTAGGCACTACATCAGGCAGAAGGACCCAACACAGAGGGGACATGGGTCCTCCTCTTCACCCAGAGAAATCCTGTACACCTCATCCGAGGTACATATAAACTTTATCCCTGAAGCTTGCTCTAATGATGAGTTTTGGTAATGATGGGGAATGATGATGAGTTAATCCCCCTCGACCTATCTTTCTGTCTCCCCTACACACAAGTGTTTGACCAGTACCAGCGGTATACTGGGTATGAATTGGAAGAGGCCATCCAGAATCGTTTCCATGGAGACACCCAGGTGGCCCTACTCAGCCTAGGTAAGGAACTGGCTCAGGGTATGCAGCGTGGGAGCCCCTCTGAGACAGGAAGCTACGGCCCCAGTTGTGAACCTCCAGCCTTCCCTCTTTACTTCCAGCCTCGGTAGTCAGGAATACACCGTCATACTTTGCTGACAAACTTCACCAAGCCCTCCAGGTGAGAGGAGTAGTCCTTTTTTTTTTTTTTTTTTTTCCGGTTTTTGGCCCCGGCTGGGTTTGAACCCACTACCTCTGGCATATGGGGCTGGCGCCCTACTCCTTTGAGCCACAGGCACTGCCCCTCCTTTTCTCTCCTATTGGAACAAAGTGAGAGAAGGCATCTCCTGGGCAGGAAGGAGGAGGCTTCAGGCTACAGCTGATGTAACCAACTCACATACATGTCACAAAACTGTAGGCGTCTCTTCCTCTTGGCTTACCAGGTGTCAAGCATAGAGGCATGAGCTGTGATTAGAACTAAGTTGACCCATCAGGGCACTAACACTAAAGTTGGGGCCTTGTCAATGTCTAGGTGACCAAATATAGATATGAATTTGCTCTGTGAGACAGTGCCTGGTCTAGTTTTGGTTGTTGTCAGAGAGATGATGATGACACTATCAAAAATAATGTGAAGGAGTAGCATTTCTGAGGTGCTGGCTGTGTGCCAGGGCCTGCCCTGAGCACATTACACCCATTTCCATTAATCCTCACAACAATATCCCATCCTTATTTTATAGATGAAAAAACTGGAGCACAGAGAAGTTAAATACCTTGCCAAGGTTACAGACTAGTAATAAGTCACACAGTTTCCCTACAAAACAGTGATATAGGACAGTGGTGGCTGCGCTGGTATGTGCCTATAATCCCAGCTACTCTAAAAGAGGCTAAAGTGGGAGATTGGCTTGAGGCCAGGAGTTCCAAACTGGCCCGAGTGATATAGGGAGACCCCTCATCCAAAAAAATAAATAAAGAGAACATTTACTATCCTTTGTCACCTCCCTGTCTGCTATACCATAAGTGCCCTCAGCATGCAGGGCACTGGTCTTCACACTGGTCTGATTTTGTTCTGTATTATCCTTGGTTTGAGTGTTTCTACCAACAGAATCTCTGTTAGTAGAACTTTCCCCCAAAACCTATAAAAAACTCATTAAGTTGGAGAAAATATAAAATTTGAAGATGGTAAAAGTAGTTATTATTTTGGCAGATGGAATAGCTTTCTATAGACTGGTTGAGAAGCCGTCATGCCATGTTGATGGCTGTTAAAAAGATAGTATATGTGGCCAGGGATGGTGGAGCCCGAGGCCAGTAGGTTGTCTGAGCTCAGGAGTTTGAGACCAGCCTGAGCAAGAGCAAGACCGTCATCTCTAAAAAAATAGCCACCTGTTGTGGTGGGCAACTGTAGTCCCAGTTACTTGAGAGGCTAATGCAAGAGAATCACTCAAGTCCAAGAGTTTTGAGGTTGTGAGCTATGACACCATGACAGTCTACCCAAGGTGACAAAGTGGGAACTCTGTCTCAAAAAAAAAAAGATAGTATATGTAAACACTTATTCTATCATCCAGAGATTTCCATCTTTTTTTTTTTTTTTTGAGACAGAGCCTCAAGCTGTCCCCATGGGTAGAGTGCCGTGGCATTACAGCTCACAGCAACCTCCAACTCCTGGGCTCAAGCGAGTCTCCTGCCTCCGCCTCCCAAGTAGCTGGGACCACAGGCGCCCGCCACAACGCCCGACTATCTTTTGGTTGCAGCCGTCATTGTTGTTTGGCGAGTCCGGGCTGGGGATTCGAACCCGCCACCTTAGGTGTACGTGGCTGGTGCCTTAGCCGGTTGAGCTATAGGCGCCCAGTTGAGATTTCCATCTTGACAGTAATTTATTATACTTAACCAAGAAAGCCTGTTTTTTTTTCCCTTTTTTTTTAGAGACAGAGTCTCACATTAACGCCCTTGGTAGAGTACTATGGCATCACACAGCTCACCACAACCTCCAAATCCTGGGCCTAGGCAATTCTCTTGCCTCAGCCTCCCAAGTAGCTGGGGACTACAGGCGCCTACCACAATGCCCAGCTATATATATATTTTTTGAGACAGAGCCTCAAGCTGTCGCCCTGGGCCGAGTGCCATGGCATCACAGCTCACAGCACCCCCCAACTCCTGGGCTCAAGCAATTCTCTTGCCTCCACCTCCCAAGTAGCTGGGACTATAGGCGCCCGCCATGACGCCCGGCATTTTTTGGTTGCAGCCAGCATTGTTGTTTGGTAGGCCTGGGCTGGATTTGAACCCTCCAGCTCAGGTATATGTGGCTGGTGCCTTAGCTGCTTGAGCCACAGGCGCCAAGCCAGGCCCAGCTATTTTTTTGTTGCAGTTTGGCAGGGCCAGGTTTAAACCTGCCACCTTCAGTATATGGGGCTGGCGCCCTACCCACTGAGCCACAGGCACCGCCCAATAAAGCCTGTATTATTATGAATCAACACCCAGATTCATTTGAAAAGTATAAATTCCTGTCTTAAACCAGGTATGGTGCACATGCCTGTAATTCCAGCTATTCAGAAAGACCAGCCTGGGCAACATACAGCAAGACTTTGTCTCTTTGGGCGGTGCCTGTGGCTCAGTGAGTAGGGTACCAGCCCCGAGGGTGGAGAGTTCGAACTCAACCCTGGCCAAACTGCAACAAAAAAATTGCCAGGTGTTGTGGTGGGTACCTGTAGTCCCAGCTACTTGGGAGGCTGAGGCAAGAGAATTGCCTAAGTCCAAGAGCTGGAGGTTGCTGTGAGCTGTGACGCCACTGCACTCTACCAAGGGCGATGAAGTGAGACTGTCTCAGGTCGGCGCCTGTGGCTCAAGTGGCTAAGGCGTCAGCCACATACACCTAAGGTGGCGGGTTTGAATCCAGCCTGCGGACCTCCAAACAACAATGATGGCTGCAGTCAAAAAAATAGCCGGGTGTTGTGGCAAGTGCCTGTAGTCCCAGCTACTTGGGAGGCGGAGACAGGAGACTCGCTTGAGCCCAGGAGTTGGTGGTTGCTGTGAGCTCTGATGCCACAGCACTCTACCCAGGGGGACAGCTTGAGACTCTGTCTCAAAAAAAAAAAAGTGAGACTCTGCCTCTAAAAAAAAAAAAAATACAGTTTTGGTATAAAGAGAACTTGTATACCAATGAGATCAGTTAATGAATGACTCTTGCCCCAGTTCTACACTCTGGAGTAGTAAGACTTAGAAGAAGGAAAGGGTAGATACTAAGGAGCAATCTGCAATCTTTTTTTGGGAGGGGGGACAGAGTTGCCCTCAGTAGAGTGCTGTGCTGTCACAGCTCACAGCAACCTCAAATTCTTGGGCTTAAGTAATTCTTTTGCCTCAGCCTCCTAAGTGGCCGGGACTACAGGTGCCTGCCACAATGCCCAGCTATTTTTTGTTGCGGTTGTCATTGTTGTTTAGCTGGCGTGGGCTGGTTTCAAACCCATCAGCCTCGGTGTATGTGGCTGGTGCTGTAACCACTATGCTACAGGCTCTGAGCCAGGTCCTACTTTTACTGACAACCTCGCTGTCTAACTACTCCCCATCTCTTTCTTCCTCTGCCAGGAAACTGAACCCAAATACCAAGTCCTGATGCGCATCCTCATCTCTCGCTGTGAGACTGACCTTCTCAGTATCAGAACAGAGTTCAAGAAGAAATTTGGGAAGTCCCTCTACTCTTCTCTCCAGGTGAAACTTGGCTAGCTCTTAGCCTGGAGCTTTGGAGCTACGCCCTTACCTCCCACACCCCCAGGCAGAAGTCCTGAGACTTTGGTTAATTTAGTGCAGGATTCCAGGCACCAGGAATCCTGATTCCTCCCCTCCCAGACCAGCTATGGACTAGCACGGGGAGAGAACAGTGTTTGGGCTGTAATAGTGGTGGGTCTTTCTAACACTTGACTCTCTTGTCTGCAGGACACAGTGAAAGGGGACTGCCAGTCAGCTTTCCTGGCCTTGTGCAGGGCTGAAGACATTTGAGACTTCCCTGCCTCCACTCCACATGACACTCAAGGATCAGAGTCCTGTGTTGGGCTGAGCCTGTAGGAAACCAGCAGAGCCTCCACATGGGACAGCCCCTCACCGAACACCGTGTTTCAGCTTCTTATTGAGGCTGGAACTCTGTTTTGTTACGTCCTTTAATTTCCTACAACTCAAAATGATATCTGTACCTGGGTCTCTAGCTCTGTCTTTGGGGTGGGGTGATGAGATCTCTTTGATAGTTTCTGCGTGGCTCACTTTTCCTGTACCCTGGCCAGAACATCTCAATGGTAGCAGAACTCTTCTGGCACACTTTACTATTGTTTGTGTGCCCTGATTGAATTTTGGGTGGAGCAGGACACAGGACGGAAAGGGGCCTTGGAGTTGCAGGCGCCTTTGATGTACACTTGGCTGTTCAACAGGATACAGTTTTTGCCCTGGTGCTGTAGTAATCAATACCCCTCCCCCATGGTGTCTCTCTGCACCTTCATTCCTCAGGAAATTTCAGGCAAAAAATTGATAAACAGGCACCAGAAGAAGAACAAGATCCGAAATAGTAAGAGGTAGCAATCCCCAGCCCCGACCCGCCAAACAACAATGACGGCTGTAACCAAAAAATGGCCAGGCGTTGTGGCGGGCGCCTGTGGTCCCAGCTACTTGGGAGGCGGAGGCAGGAGACTCGCTTGAGCCCAGGAGTTGGAGGTTGCTGTGAGCTGTAATGCCACGGCACTCTGCCCAGGGGGACAGCTTGAGGCTCTGTCTCAAAAAAAAAAAAAAAAAAAAAAAAGAGGTAGCAAAGGTCAGTGAACTGGGAAGCAAGCAGAGGTCAAGCTGCCCTCCCCAGTTTGGGAAGTCTTGGGTTAGAAGGGAGCACAAGCCCCAAATTCATCTGTCCATTCAGGGATTTGGAAATCCATTTCCCATGACAGCACTTTGTCCCATCAAGGACCTAGCAGGAACAGACAAAAAAGAGAAAAGGAGGCTTGGCACCCGTAGCACAGTGGTTACGGCACCAGCCACATACACGAAGGGTCTGGGTTCGAACCTGGCCCAGGCCAACTAAACAACTGCAACAACAACAAAAATAGCCGGGCATTGTGGCAGCGCCTGTAGTCCAAGCTACTTGGGAGGCTAAGGCAAGAGAATTGCCTAAGCCCAAGTGTTGGAGGTTGCTGTGAGCTGTGACGCCACAGCACTCTACCAAGGGCAACATAGTGAGACTCTGTATCAAAAAGAAAAAGAGAAAAGGAGCCAGGTGCAGTGGCAAACACCTATAATCCCAGCACTCTGGAAGACTGAGGCAGGTGGATTGCTTGAGCTCAGGAGTTTTAAGACCAGCCTGAGCAAGAGTGAGACGTCATCTCTACTAAAAATAGAAAAACTAAGGCCAGGCACAGTGGCTCACACCTGTAATCCTAGCACTCTCAGAAGCCAAGGTGGGTGCACAAGAGTTTTGAGACCAGCCTGAGCCAGAGCAAGACCTTATCTCTAAAAATAGCCGATGTTATGGTGGACGCCTGTTGTCCAAGATAATTTGGAGGCTGAAGCAAGAGAATTGCTTGAGCCTGGCTTGGTGCCTGTAGCTGAGCAAGTAGGGCACCTGCCACATACACTGAGGCTGGCAGGTTCAAACCCACCCGGGGCCAGCTAAACAACAATGACAACTCTACCCAAAAAATAGCTAGGCGTTGTGGCAGGCGACTATAGTCCCAGCAACTCAGAAGGCTGAGGCAAGAGAATCACTTAAGCCCAAGAGTTTGAGGCTGCTGTGAGCTGTGACACCATGGCATTCTACCAAGGGTGACATAGTGAGACTCTGTCTCAAAAAATAAAAATAAATACAAATAAAGAATTGCTTGAACCCAAGAGTTTGATGTGGCTGTGAACTATGATGCCACAGCATAATAAAGTAAGACTTTATATCTAAAAACAGACAAACAAAAAAAGAAAACCTAGTTGAGTGCTGGGCAGGCACCTGTAGGCCCAGCTACCTGGGAGGCTAAGTGGAAAGAGGATTTCTGGAGCCCAAGAATGGAGATTGCTATGTGAGCTATGATGATGCCTTCAGGTAGGGTACTCTATCAAGGATGGCTGGGTTAGACTTAGTCTCAAAAAAAAAAAAAAAAAAAAAGAAAGGCAGGCTTTGGTTCCCCCACTGGCTCTATCAGGAATGACAGGAAACCTCCTTCTACCTCTGTACCCTCCTCCCCTTTTTCATATTCTTCAACTGGGTCAAATACTTAACCCTACTGCACAGGGTAAGATAAACAACAGATCTCAGGAAAAAAGTTTTATTTCCAAACTTAGAGAGGTGTTACAAATAATGGAGATAGAAACCCAAATTAAACCCTGAAACAAATGGAGACAGGCCTGCTGGGTAGTCCCGAGCCCTCAGTCAGGGATAGGAGGGAGGGAAGGAGAATGCATTCCAGACTGGGACCTGGCCCTGAAGCCGGAGTCTCTATATCATGTGACTGTTCTGAGAAAGGGAACTGGGAAGCAGAAATCTTCGCCCCACTAATCTCAGTGTTGCCCTGATGGGAAGAAGAGAAGGCAGCAGGACATAGTCCAACCACCTTAGTGAGTCTGATCTTGGCTTTTACTGTCTTGCTCTAGTCCCCAACAGTCCATAAATAAGTCACCCAACACACCTCAGGGGTTGAGGTGGGGGAGAGAGCAAACAAGTTATCGCCTCAGAGAGAAGGGGCAGCTCAGCATGGCAACGGGGCAGAGCTACAGCAAGACACAGTCTGACTCACGCTTGGGTCTTGGCTGCCGTTCCCGGGCTGGACGTCCAGACATGGCTCCTCTGCCCTGTGTTGGATTTAACAATTGGTCATCCATCTAACAACTTTGGAAGAGCATGAGAACAGAGAGTCAAGGAGAAAATGGATCAGGCTTCAGGAGAGGGAATGGGGAGAGAAAGACAGGGAGGGCTGGAGTGGCACCCGTGGCTCAAAGGAGTAGGGCACTGGCCCCATATGCTGGAGGTGGTGGGTTCAAACCCAGCCCTGGGCAAAAAAAAAAATCTGCAAAAAAAAGAATAACAGGGAAAGTACCTGGGAGGGGCCCTAAGAGAGGAAGCCCTGAGGAGGTAAGTGCGGAAGCAAGGACGCTCTGGACCAAAGTGCAAGATGTGCCCTGGACATGGAGAGGGGAAGAACACCCCAGGCTCACCTGCGGCAATGGGGCCCATGTTTGCAAGGGCTGGACTGAGTGCTGCTGCTGATACTCCTCTTGCTGAAGATGCTGGGCCAGCTCCAAGTCGCTAAGACCCAATGTGCTTTGTGGCTGCTGATGTTGCTGCAGGGACAAAGCAATCAGGTAGTCCTAGAGAGAACAGAGTTGTGAGGTGGGCTAAGGCTGGAGGGATGGATATCCAGGCTAGGTTTCCAATCAGTTTTTCCTCATTCTCCAAATTTTCTAGCATCTATTCCGTTGAGAGTAAAACACGCAGCCAAGTGTCATTTGTGGTACCAGAGAACGTGCAGAATGCGTAAGTAAGGAAATGGTCCAGGGGTGACAGAGAGAGAAGGGGCATGGACTGTCACATGGTGGTCTCTGGATAATAATATGCATAAAGCTCTCTAAGGCAAATGTGTCCCTGCACCTTCCCCAGGGGCCCTACATACCTGGTCTACCTGTAACTGTTTTTCTGGGGAGCCACTCCCACCTTCTGCTCCAGGACCCTTGCCCAGGGAGTGACTTAGGTGAAAATCAGAGTCACAGAAGCAGCTGTCTCCATCCACATTGTTTAGGCTCTCCCACACTACTTGCTCTTCCTGTAGAAAGCCCTGATCTGTGACCAGTAGGTACAAGTGACTCTGCAAAGAAAAGAACAGAGCTAATCAGTGGGACAGGTGAGACAGAGGCAATTTATTGCCAGAAATTATCTGCAATACTCAGTCTGAGACTCCCTGGGTCAGCTGGTGTGCTGGCTGGGACATGTCAGTGTGGGCATGTGGATCTTTATAAATATGTGTGGCCTTGGGGAGAGCAGAGGGATATCTGCGTGTCTGATCAACTTGGTTAGAGTATGGAAGTCTTTTTTTTTTTTTTTGAGACACAGTCTCAAGCTGTTGCCCCGGGTAGAGTGCTGTGGTATCATAGTTCAGAGCAACCTCAAACTCTTGGGCCCAAGCGATTCTCTTGCCTCAGCCTCCCAAGTATGGGACTACAGGCACCCACCACAATGCCCAGTTATTTTTTGGCCTGGGTCGGATTTGAACCTGCCATCTCTGGTGTATGTGGCTGGTGCCCTAGCCACCTGAGCTACAGGCGCCAAGCCTGGAAATCATTTTGGTCAAGCCTGGAGTCCTTGGGGCTGGTGCCACCCAAGATCCTGTGCCCCCATTGTCCATGGTTCTCTGACTTGCCTGATGGCTATCAGGATAAATCCTTTGAGAACCAGGGACCTCTTCGTCTATTAGTTCCTAGAAAGCTTTGACAATTTAACTTTGGAAGACTGGCATTATTCAAAAATTCCACTGCCTTTTTCTTTTTTTTTTTTTTTTTT